CCACTTGGTCAGCCTGGAAGCGTTCCTCGACAAGTCGATCTTGTTCGGGTTCTCCTTCGGCATCAGCAAGGCGGAGGTGTGCGTTTTGGAGGGAAAGCTTCTCGGGCACCGCATCGGGCGGAGCGGGAGCTCGCCCGATGAAGAGCGGTGTCAGGCAGTCGTGGACTTCCCTCCGCTCAAGGAGAAATTGCATATACAGCAATTCCTTGGATGTGCCAACTGGCTTCGGGGATACTTGCCGGCGGAGTACGGACACGCGGCAAAAATCTTAGGCCAATGGCAAAAGCCTGGCTCCGAGTTTCCGGAGGGCGGCCTAGGCTCTGGCGCCACTCCAGGACTCCAGGCTGTAAGGCCTTCAAGGCCATCAAGCAGATGATGCAGAAGCATATCTGCTTGGCCTCCTTCGACGAGGCGGCGGCGGCCGATGGGTCGTGCCCCTTGGAGCAGATCGCGGATGCTTCGGGCATCGCGGTGGGCGGCAGCGTGGTCCAGATGACGCGCGACCTGAGCCGACTGAAGGTCTTGATGACCCATAGCAAGTCGCTCACGCCGGCGCAACAGAATTGGCCGCCGCTCATCCAGGAGGCGTTCGCTCAGCTGGAGGTGAAGAGAGCCACCAAAGACGTTCGGGTCCATTCGCACAGTGTGCTGGACCGACCACGCGAACTTGACCCGAGCGCAGACCAGCGACATCGGCCTGGACCCTAAGTTGGTCAGGTGGGTCGCTGAGATCTTGCTGGATGGCTCCGAGATCAGGAGCCTTAGCGGTCGCTCTGCGAAGCTAGGCGACAGCTTTCAGCCGCAACCCCAAGGACCGGGATGCGCTTCTTGCGGCCCGGACCAAGGACCTCCAGGGGATGACTGGCCAGCTGCGGGGTTTCGACCTGGACCAGTACCTGGGGGAGGGGACTGAAGGGACGGGTGCTCTTTGCGCCTATCCTGTGTGTCACGTGGTGCTCTTTGCCCCTATCCTGTTTGCCGTGTGTGGTTTCTTGGTGCTCTTTGCCCCTGTCCTGTTTGCGGTGTGTGTTTTCTTGGTGCTCTGTGCCCCTATCCTGTTTGCCGTGTGTGGTTTCTTGGTGCTTTTTGCCCCTATCCTGTTTGCCGTGTCTGGTGTCGTGGTGCTACTTGCCCCTATCCTGCTTGCCGTGTCTGGTTTCTTGGTGCTCTTTGCCCCTCTCCTGTTTGCCGTGTCTGGCTTCTTGGTGGTCTTTGTCCCTCTCCTGTTTGCCGTGTCTGGCTTCTTGGTGCTTTTTGCCCCTATCCTGTTTGCCGTGTCTGGTGTCTTGGTGCTCTTTGCCCCTATCCTGTTTGCCGTGTCTGGCTTTTTTGGTGCTCTTTGCCCCTATCCTGTTTGCCGTGTCTGATTTCTTGGTGCTCTTTGCCCCTATCCTGTTTGCCGCGTCCGGTTTCTTGGTGCTCTTTGCCCCTATCCTGCTTGCCGTGTCTGGTTTCTTGGTGCTCTTTGCCCCTGTCCTGTTTGCCGTGTCTGGTTTCTTGGTGCTCTGTGCCCCTGTCCTGTTTGCCGTGTCTGGTTTCTTGGTGCTCTTGACCCTATCCTGTTTGCCGTGTCTGGTTTCTTGGTGTTCTTTGCCACTATCCTGCTTGCCGTGTCTGGTTTCTTGGTGCTCTTTGCCCCTATCCTGTTTGCCGTGTCTGGTTTCTTGGTGCTCTTTGCCCCTATCCTGATTGCCGTGTCTGGTTTCTTGGTGCTCTTTGCCCCTATCCTGTGTGCCGTGTCTGGTTTCTTGGTGTTCTTTGCCCCTATCCTGTTTGCCGTGTCTGGTTTCTTGGTGCTCTTTCCCCCTGGACTGTTTGTCGTGTCTGATTTCTTGGTGCTCTTTGCCCCTATCCTGTTTGCCGCGTCCGGTTTCTTGGTGCTCTTTGCCCCTATCCTGTTTGCCGTGTCTGGTTTCTTGGTGATCTTAACGGTTTCTGGGTGCTCTTTGCCCCTGTCCTGTTTGCAGTGTCTGGTTTCTAGGTGCTCTTTGCCCCTATCCTGTTTCTTGGTGTTCTTTGCCACTATCAAGTTTGCCGTGTCTGGTTTCTTGGTGCTCTTTGACCTATCCTGTTTGCCGTATCTGGTTTTCCGGTGCATTTTGCCCCTATCCTGTTTGACGTGTGTGGTTTCTAGGTGCTCTTTGCCCCTATACTGGTTGCAGTGTCTGGCTTCTTGGTGCTCTTTGCCCCTATCCTGCTTGCCGTGTCTGGTTTCTTGGTGTTCTTTGCCCCTATCCTGTTTGCCGTGTCTGGCTTCTTGGTGCTCTTTGCCCCTATCCTGTTTGCCGTATCTGGTTTCTTGTCTGGTTTCTTGGTGCTCTTTGCCCCTATCCTGCTTGCCGTGTCTGGTTTCTTGGTGCTCTTTGCCCCTATCCTGTTAGCCGTGTCCGGTTTCTTGGTGCTCTTTGCCCCTATCCTGTTTGCCGTGTCTGGTTTCTTGTTGCTCTTAACGGTTTCTGGGTGCTCTTTGCCCCTATCCTGTTTGCAGTGTCTGGTTTCTTGGTGCTCTTTGCCCCTATCCTGTTTCTTGGTGCTCTTTGCCCTTATCCTGTTTCTTGGTGCTACTTGCCCCTATCCTGCTTGCCGTGTCTGGTTTCTTGGTGCTCTTTGCCCCTCTCCTGTTTGCCGTGTCTGGCTTCTTGGTGCTCTTTGTCCCTCTCCTGTTTGCCGTGTCTGGCTTCTTGGTGCTTTTTGCCCCTATCCTGTTTGCCGTGTCTGGTGTCTTGGTGCTCTTTGCCCCTATCCTGTTTGCCGTGTCTGGCTTTTTTGGTGCTCTTTGCCCCTGTCCTGTTTGCCGTGTGTGTTTTCTTGGTGCTCTGTGCCCCTATCCTGTTTGCCGTGTGTGGTTTCTTGGTGCTTTTTGCCCCTACCCTGTTTGCCGTGTCTGGTTTCGGGGCGCTATTTGCCCCTATCCTGTGTGCCGTGTCTGGTTTCTCGGTGTTCTTTGCCCCTATCCTGTTTGCCGTGTCTGGCTTCTTGGTGCTCTTTGTCCCTCTCCTGTTTGCCGTGTCTGGCTTCTTGGTGCTTTTTGCCCCTATCCTGTTTGCCGTGTCTGGTGTCTTGGTGCTCTTTGCCCCTATCCTGCTTGCCGTGTCTGGCTTTTTTGGTGCTCTTTGCCCCTATCCTGTTTGCCGTATCTGATTTCTTGGTGCTCTTTGCCCTTTCCTGTTTGCCGTATCTGGTTCCCGGTGGCTTTTTGCCCCTATCCTGCTTGCCGCGTCTGGTTTCTTGGTGCTCTTTGCCCCTGTCCTGTTTGCCGTGTCTGGTGTCTTGGTGCTCTGTGCCCCTGTCCTGTTTTTCCAGGGGCTGGACCCCGGCGTTATGTTGTTAGAATATCTTTTCAATCCTACAGAGATCTAGGGGTGGACCCCGGCGTTACATTGTGAGAATATCTTTCGAACCCTACGAAGATCTAGAGGTGGACCCCGGCGTTACATTGTCAGAGCATTTTTTCAATCCTGCAAAATTTAGAAGTGGACCCCAGCGTTACATTGTTATTTCTTAAAGCCCACTCAAATCTAGGGGTGGACCCCGGGGTTGCATTGTTACAGTATGGTTTAAGTCTCAAAGATCAAGGGGGGTCGACCCCGACGTTACATTGTTTATCTTTAGAACCCTACAAAGATCTAGCGATAGACCCCGACGTTACATTGTTTCAATATCATCAATATCCTACAAAGATCTAGAGATGGACCCCGGCGTTACACTGTTAGAATACCTTTTCAATCCTACAAAGATCTACGGCTGGACCCCGGCGTTACGTTGTTCCAGTATTTTCTGAATCCGACAAAGACCTAAGGGTGGACCCCGGTGTTACATTGTTAGCGAGTTTGTTCAAAAGATACCTAGATCTAGGGGTGGACCCCGGGCGTTACACTGTTAGCGCATCTTTCAAATCCTACAAAGATCTAGGGGTGGACACAGGCATTGTTAGAATATCCTCTCACTCCTACAAAGATCAAGGGGTGGACCCCGGCATCACAGTATTAGAGTATCTTTTTAATCCTATAAAGATCTAGGGGTGGACCCCGGCGTCACATTTTTAGAGTATCTTTTAAATCCTACAAAGATCTAGGGGTAGACCCCGACGTTACGTTGTCTCAGTATGTTCAAAATCCGAAATTGACCTAGGGGTGGACCCCGGTGTTACACTGTTAGAATGTCTTTTAAAGACTACAAAGATCTAGGGGTGGACCCCGGCGTTACACTGTTAGAGTATCCTTTAAATCCTGCAAAGATCAAGGGATAGACCCCGGCGTTACATTGTTTCAGAATCTTCTAAATGATACAAAAATCTAAGGGAGGACTCCGGCGTTACATTGTTCGCGTATCTGTTCAAAAAGATACCAAGAACTCGGGGTGGACCCTGGCGTTACACTTTTAGAATATCTTTTGAATCCTACAAAAGTTCTAGGGGTGGACCCGGTCGTTATGTTGTTAGAATATCTTTACAATCCTACAGAGATCTAGGGGTGGACCCCGGCATGACAGTGTTAGAATATAGTTCCATCCCTTCGAAGATCTAGGAGTGGACCCCGGCGTTACATTGTTAGTCAGAGTATCTTTCGAACCCTACAAAGATCTAGGAATGGATCCCGGGGTTACATTGTTAGAGTATCTTCGAAACCCTACAAAGAGCCAGGGGTGGACCCCGGCGTTACATTGTCAGAGCATTTTTTCAATCCTACAAAATCTTGAAGTGGACCTCGGCGTTACATTGTTACAGTATTTCTTAAAACCTGCTCAGATCTAGGGGTGGACCCCGGGGTTACATTGTTAGAATATCTTTTAATTACTACATAGATCTGCGAACCAGCGCTTGGCAGCCTCCGGATCGGTCGAAGGAGCCGCTTTAGAAGTTAGCACCCCTGTAAGTAAGGGACGAGCTGAGCCCCAAACCCTGAAAACCCCGAACCCTTAACCCTGAAAACCCTGAAAACCATGAAAGCCTGATAGCCCTGGAAACCCTGAACCCGTAACAAGGGGGTTCATGAATCAGCCTCTGGAACGTTCTTGAAGCTGGGGAAGACGACATGGAGCCTTGGATTTCTCGAAAGCTGGGGAAATGATTACTGATTTTCGGGTTTAAGGTGGTTTAAGAATGTTTAAGGCTTCTAGAAGTTTTAGGGCCCATACAGGGCTCGTAGCGCGCATAGGGCTTGGGAGACTTGCAGGGTTTACAGGGTATGTGCTTATAGGATTTAGGAGTGGGTTTCATATGTTCGGGATCTAGGTATTTTAGGCTTTAGGCGTGAGCGCTGGGGTATGGGTGTAGATGGCTTGGTGGTTTCGGGTTTTGAGGGTGTGCTTCGGATCTAGGGGTGTAGGTCTAGGCCTCATAAGGGCCTACAAAATCAGAGCATTATTTTGGTGGATTTATGATACCACGACTGCAAGTGCACAGGGGCCGTTCCGAACAGTGCAAGACAAAAAGTAGAGTATACAGTAGACCAATGTAGAAATGGTCATGCTTGTGCATGGTATTTCTCTGAATTCGGGTTCTGCGTGGGTCCTTATAAGGGTGCTGTACTATTTTGGGGGCCTAGGAAGGGGTCACCTCATTTAGAGAACTACCCAAAAGTTTGCAATATGTTTGCACATGCATGCATGGGCCATGGGGTTGGAAAGCAACTCCTCTACACCCAGAAGAAGGACCCCAGAAAATTGTTTGGAGCTCCAACTTCTAGAACGCTAAACCTGAAACCCTAAACCCTGCAACCCTACAGCCCAAAGCCCCGAAACCCTACACCCCAAAGTGAAAGCCCTGAAACCCTAAACCCCAGAACTTAACGCCAAAGTCTCCGAGCCCGGAATCTAGGTTGCTGGGTACCTCAGTGGGAACACGTAGATACTTCCTGGGTCTACTTCAGGTGCACTATACAAAAGATCCCGGAGACTTTTGGGTTTGCATGTGGTACTAGGAACCCAGAAAGACAGAGGTAAAAAGGGATGCCACTGAAGAACCCACCTCATATAGGGGCCTGAATAGTTGAATAGTTGGAGTAGAGTTCTGGACTATATTATGATAAGGAGCCCTACTTGGAGGTTCATGGGTGGTTGTAAGTGGGGTTCTAAGTTGGGTAACACTAACACTTACTAACACTAAACCCTATTATAGCTGACTGTAACTCCACTTACAACTACCCATGAACCTCCAAGCGAGGAGTAAGAATGCAACTTCGCAGCCCTAAGGAATCTCCAAGCCCAAAAACCTATACCCTGGACCTTATATCCTACACCCTATACCCTCACCCTAAACCCTAACCCCGCAAGCCCGGAAGCCAAGACTATGCCCCAAACCCTAAGCCATAGACCCTAAAGCCCATACCCTAGAACCCTAATCCGTATGCCCCTAATCTCTAAACCCAAATCCCCAAACCCTGAGCCCCAATCCCCAAACCCTCGAACCCTAGACCCCCTGCCCTTTTTCCACAGGCTTGATTAGTGCCCGCCCGGCCAGAATCCCCGTGCACATCGCACTCGTGGCGAGATGCTGAGGCTAAGTACGCACAAGACGCATTACCTGCCCTAAAACCCTAACTCCAAGTGTAGAGCCCTTCTAGTAACCCTTATAGTAACCCTTGTAATAACCCTTATAGGAATGCAACTGGGCGTCTGCTCCTCAGGCCCGGGCTTGAGCGCCATCGGACCAGCGCTCGATTTCTCTTGCGGTCAGTCTCAGATTATAGGGTTTAAGGTATAAGGCTAGGGTTTAAGGATTAGGGTTTAGGGATTAGGGTTTTGGGTATAAGGTTTGGGGTAAAGGTATTTGGGCTTAGAGTTTAAGGCCCAATGTTGGCGCGAGCTGTCTCAAAAGCGTGGATTCACGACTCGATTTCAGGGTGGAAGTTATAATATGTTGCGATTCAGGGGGTGTTTATGGGATCCGGGTGTTTCGCATTCGGCTTGCGCTTAACGAGGCTGAGGCAATTAGGTGTTTAGGTTTAATGGTCGTGGCCCCTTGAACCGAAGTCTGCACGGTTGTACTTGAACGAGTAGTTCTGCCAGCACGGATCGGCCTGACTCCTGCTGCTTCTGGCTGCACAGCTTGCGAAAAGCTCGGGCTCGTTGTTCTGCTATACATCGTCCCCTTTATACAGCTCTAACTCTTACAATGCGGGGACATTTGTGGGACATAGTCACCCCAGCGACCCTGACTTTGATGGGGCTGCCCATCAATGTGTGGACAAGCCAACGAACACACCCTATTTACCCTCTGCACCCCAAGAAAGACACTCTGATTTGGACCTTTTTCTTGGATTGAGGCTTTGGAGTTTGAGTTTCAGGCGCCCCACAATGTCGGACATGAGCAATCGCCTCACCATCCTCAAACAAGCACATGTAAATGCAAACTGCATTATATAGAACTTGTAAATGCCCGCAACACATTCAGCTCGACCGCTCCTACCCGTCGAGGCTAGCCAGAAAAGAGTGCTCAGAAATTATCCGTATTGTCGAGTGAAAGCCTCAACCCTGTTGAAACCTCATAGCCCTGCTTGCAACTTTCAAGCGGCGGCCATCACGGCAGTGCCCGTACAGGTTGTGAAACACAAGCCTGCGAATCGCCTCTGAAGCCTACGTTCGGCTTCAGGCGTACGCGAGTTAGGCCGAACAGCAGTTCCCTAAGCCTACTTTACTGTAGGTTTCCTTATTGTTGGACTATACAACAATCTACTCCAAAACCCTATTCCGATAATTACGGCACATGTATTATGTATGTGCGTCCGGGAGACTTCAACGGGAAACCAACTCACACCCATCGTGTAGCTAGGGCTTGGGGTTTTGGGGTTTGGGCTTAGTCGATCGTCCCATTCTCTTGTTGATACACATAGTTTACAAGTAGATTGAGCGTCGGGCACACAAATAGCCGCAGTGACCACACGAGTTTATTGCCAGACACATACCAGCAATATACAAGTCGGAATACATTTTCCGGACTGGTCCTTAGGGTTCCTCTGGTAATTGTGGGTTGTAGTGGCATGATTGCACGCCCAGAAACCGATTGTACGATTCAAGGGCGCTGTACTCCCTAGAACCCTTATCGTGACACTCACGAACCTATTTTACGTTCCAAGGGCACTGTACTACGTGGAACCCTTATAGTGACGCCTATGGACCCCGTCCAAAACAAGCCTAAAATCCATGCATGGATACATCGAAGCTTTCTTAGAGAGGCAGAGATTGCTGCTCGTCGGCAGTACGACGTGGACTCAACAAGAGGCAAGGGCTCCTTGCCGTTTCTGCTGCTTCGTCCCTCGTGTGCCTATTTGTGAATTCCTTGTATTCTTCATTGCTGAGGGATCAGGCTCACTTACCTAATTCGTACTAACTAGTGAACCCTGAACGCCTGAACTCTGCAGCGAAATCCAAGCTCTTAACGCTCGGAGCTCTAGATCAGAGTCCCTGAACTCCGTCAGAACGGAGTGCATGGCTTGTGCTAGTAGTATGAAAGGAAAGATGTTCCGTATAGGTCCACGCATGCTAGCAGTGTTCACCATTTCTACCTCATCGTCCTGGATACGGCTTTCTCAGATTCTCAAGTACAGAGGTTGAAAAGCTACAGTCCAGGACTTGGGGTTTTTGCGCCAAATTCTACCACACACAACGCACACCCTTTGGCTCTTGGGGGATACATGGCGTCCCTAGTGAGCAGGTCTAGTCCTTAGCACTTGGATGAACTCTAAGCCTAATGCGTTGAGCCGAAGTCTTTCACATAAGGGCCTTCGCAAGGAACTTTAAACATCGTAGTATGCATTGATTTTCAGGATTCTACATCCACCCCTGAATGACCCTAAACCTCGCACGGAGGCCCTTGCCGGACAGGGTCGTGAGCCCTACCAGGAAATCCAGACTGGATCAGCTGTCAGGATGCGGGCGACAAGTTGGCACACCCGCACCTCGGAGTTCAAGGCAAACCCCTGCCCCTAAAACCCCGAAGCCCTAACCCTAAACCCCCCAGGCCCTTAACTTGATAGTGCCGGGATCTGGTGCAGTGGCATGTCACACTACACTTGGCCCTAAACTTGGTAAGCCCTACAGTCGGGCTCAACCCGCTAAACTATGCCTGCAACCGAACGCCTGAACCTCCAAAACGGGCCCATAGTAGACTTATACAGGCGCCAAGAATGAGAAATTATAGTATACGATACTGTTAGTAGGAACCCTGAGGAATGTACTATTGGTATTCTCCAGACTTCTGTATTACTTAATCCCTTGCTGTGCTTGGGCAGAGCATGTTGAGCCTTTGGAGTATGGCCTTGCAAGGTACGAGCCTGGCCCTTCGATTTCGAAGGACTTAAGGAGGTCCAAGGTGTACCTATGGTCTCTCCATTGTACTTCCCTTTTTTGGAGTTTAGGCGTGACTGTTTAGAAGTTTAGGGTTTACTGGGTATTCAGCGGGGGATAGGTTGCATCGCATACTCATTGGGCTGAAGTTACCGAAGAGAAAAAAGCTGCGTGGGCGACGGTCGCTGCCTTCTTCTAGCTATGCTTGCGATGATTGCGAAGATTGTGCGATGCCCCAGAGACCCTAGCAAACCGTACCCAAATCCCTTTCGTCTCGAGCTTGTTAAAACTTCGTTCCCCTAAGCCCAGGCCTTCGAGCATGAAACACACTCAACTGTAAACACTCCACAGACCTTCCACCCTGAGCCCCGTACCCTTGGGAAGTTGAACCTCTGGAGCCCGAACACACAAGAACAAGTGCACTGCACTTATTAAGGCGGCCTCAACGATTGGAATAGGTTTTGGGCAAGTCGATCTAGCAAGGCGGCAGGCGCAGGCTCAAGATGTCAGCCCCTTGTTACAATTAGTGTCCTAGGAGCTTTTCAACCGGCGTGCGGTTCCGGGCTCATTCGGGGTACACCTACACACTCGAAACCGCGAAAAACCGTGAGTTGAATCTCTGAACCCTACAACCATATGCAACTCTAGGCCGAAATTGCGACTGCGAGCGAGCCGCCTCATCCCCACCACAGGACGGGCATGTACTCAGGGGAAGACATCATGGGCCCTGGTGGAAAGTAGGAGTCGGGTCTGGGCTCGCACGTACTCGGCATCATGGGTCTTGGCAACTCTTCTGGCGGAGCATGGAAGAATCCCTGCGAAACCTCGCATGGCATCTGCATCAGGTGTGCATGAGGTGGCTCCCACGGTGGATAGAAACCGGGCATCATGGGTCGAGGTGGCTCCCACATTGGATAGAAACCGGGCATCACGGGTCCTTGCAGCTCCGCTGGGAGTGGAAGGTAGGAGTCGGGTCTGGGCTCGTGCGAAAACTCGCATGGCATCTGCATCGGGTGTGCATGAGGTGGCTCCCACGGCGGATAGAAACCGGGCATCACGGGTCCTCGCAGCTCCGCTGGGAGTGGAAGGTGGGAGTCGGGTCTGGGCATGGGTGTTGCCGGCTCTTCTGGAGGAGCATGGAAAAATCCCTGCGAAACCTCGCACGGCATCTGCATCGGGTGTTCATGAGGTGGCTGCGCAGGTGGGTGATGTTCAAACGTCGACTCTGCGTGTGGAAGTGGTGGAGGAAGCAACTCCGGTGGTGGCGGAGGCGGCCTTGGAAATGTTTGACTTGGAGCTTCTTCAGATTTTTTCGGTCGAGACAGCACTCAACGACCAACAGGTCCAAACCCCGATCTCCAGACCAAATTCAGCGTAAGGTTTGAGGGCTTGTGTTCTGGGCTCTTGGGTTTTGAAACCGCATCCCAGCCTCGGGCCGGTGGTTTGCCTTGTCTACCAGAAGTTGCCATCACAAGCCCTATACTCACTGCGCTACTTCATCCTGTCTAGGGAGGGGACCACATGATCTGAAGCTAAAGCTCCTTCTTTAATCCTCGTGGAGATCGGTGCTAGGGGTTTTGGGTTTAGGGGTTGTGGGGTTTGGGCCTGGGGGTTTAGGATGGTTTAGGGGTTTTGGGTTTAGGCGACGCCCTGAATTCGGCGGAGCAGCCTGAAGCATGTGTTGGCCGGCACCACCTCAGGACTACCATGGTCTGCTATGGGGGGCTTAATGATGGCATCATGATTGGAATAGGGTTTTGGGCATGACGTTGGTCATTATTTAGGCTCCTAGACTACAGCAAACTTGATTCGATGACGGTCAAAGGCCAGAATGTTCACACTGGACATGAAGGTGCTTCATGTACGGGCATTAATAAGTAGAATAGCTAGGGTTTGGGGGGTCTACCAGTGTAGAGCTGTAATAGTAGAAAACGCCAAGGGAATGCTCCGACAATAGCTACGGTAGGCTTATTTTCGGAAACTCCCATCTTCATTCCCTGCAGAACTCCAAAAACCTCAAACCTCCAAGTCGGTCACTGAAGCCCTCAGCTTGCGGGCTATGGGCTATCCGGCCTTTCTAGCAACAGTGGAGGCCTTTCGGCGCCCTTCAAGTACCCAGACCTTCCAAAATCCTTTAGTTCAGAAATATGCCTTGAATAAGAGCAGGGTCACTAATGTGATTTAAGGTATGTTCCTTACTCAAAGGACTTTGGAATGCTTGGGTAGCGTTTAAGGAACGCTTGAAGCAAAGATCCTGAAAGAGTAGTTCTTACAGAGCATAATCCCTGATAGGAACCCTCAAGGGAATCCATACCGGATTTCTTGCAGCATCCTTTATACCATATGGGCCCTAATGATTA